CGTCTGAAGCGGCTTCACGTTACGCGACTCGCGGCCTCTCCTAATAATAGTTACTCCAAGGTTGGTACACATGATTGTTGAGCTATAACAAAAGCGACACAGGGGCGGCCACGACGACGTGGTCTGATGTTACACCGATTGTTTTGCTGGTTCTTTGGCCTTTGGTGGGGAGGGGGAGGATTGCAGCGGAATTGGAGACTTGCCAATAATGTATACATGTCGTGTGGTTGCCTACCTCCCTCACGAGTGCCCACCCCACCTACCTCTTTCTTCAAACGCCCTTTGTGGGTGGTTGGCGGGTGCTTTGATGTGGTTTGCTTTTTTCCCCCTATCGTGCATCTATCTCTCCTTGTTCTTTTAGTTTTATGTAACTATCAAGTAACACCTCTAGTCTTCGGTACAAGTATGACTTATCTATGTCGGAAGTAAAGTAAAACTATAATTAAAACCTAAAATTAAAGTAAAAATCCCTTAATCCATCCCCCTTCTCTCACACGCCCCTTCTCACCTTCTTTTTGGGATCGCCTTATAAAGCTTCTGGACCATAGAAACAAACGCCTCACGTTTCACGCCTGATGCCTCATGCCTGACTGCCCACTGAGCCATGAGGGCTCATGGTTTATCCATCACACACCAGTCTATGTAGTGCATTCAAGGTGTGATCTTTTGACGAAGAAGATTTGCTGATTTTGTTCCGCAGAAGAAGGAAGCGGAAGAGACGGAGCATAATAATACATGTATATATTGTGCAGAGAGCATTTTTTGCTCAGAGAATCCAAAGGAGAATTTCACTGGACATCCCAGCATCTCGTGGACAATCCTGATGAAGAACTCTTTTACAGTCAGCATCTTAGAAAGGTTTTTCCAAACTTGTGCCCTTTGATCTTTGTCTTTGTAGTCAGGATCACATGGGACCCAGAGCAGAGGCCTTGCCCGGACGAACTCGATTAATGTTTCTTTGTAATCATCCATCCTGACGAGAAAAAAAAATTGCACACTGTTGACAGCGCAATCTGGCCCTCGTCCAGCTTTACCGAGGGGGGGGGGGTGCTCTGATATCCAGTCTGCCCCCGACTCACGCCTCGAAAAAAAAACTGACCATGTTCACTTCTAGGCTCACGCGTGAGCCGCGACCTGTGAAGTGTGAGGCGTGAGCCGAGGTCTATGGCCCATCGCAAGTAAGATTACGTCCATTCATTTTTCCACTTACGCTTTTAGGCGTGAGGCGTGAGTTTCTATGGTCCGGAAGCCTTAGGCAACGCCATTATTCACATTTTTGTATCTCTTTTCATTTAAATTTCTAACATGGTTACTGTTTCGTCGGCTTGACTTTTCTACGTCTGTTTAGGGTTACTGTCGTCTTTTCTGTTTTGTTGCAAAATGTAACTATTCTCACGTGGACACAAAATGTAACTTATATTTTGCAACCACATACTTTAAGATAGACTACCAAGTTTTTGGCCCTGGCTTTGGTTTTCTCTGTTGCCAGTATAAGTTGAGTTATTGTCTCGAACGGTAACCTTGGACTCAAACATGGACACGATGAACAATTATGCTTTTTTTACTCTTCGTTACAATACTTTGGGCTGAAAAATGTTCATGTATTTACTTGTAACCAATTAATTTGTTTAAGGTATAAAGTTAAAAAAGCAAACAACAGCGTTCGTTTTTCTCTTTGGTGGTAGACGCAGTCGTTTTGTTTTGGTCCCTTTTCTTAATTCAGTTGTTGTTGTGTTAATCTGTGCCAAGTGGCAACGGCATCCCTTTGGTTACGCTACCAGCCCCGTAATCATGAGATTGTGGATTTGGGGACTCGAGCGTCAGATCGGTTCGACGCTGTGTCTTTGGGAAAGGCGCTTTACACGGCGCTCGCTGGTCCCGCCTTTAAATATCCTAATAGTGTTGATAGAGGCGTTAAACCTATATCTTTTCACATAAATTTACAGTCTCTTCCAGTCGAGATGTCTTGTTGGAAACTGTTCCTCTAAAGAAAAACTATCACAATCAGCATTGCAACCACAACTACAGCAGCAGCAGCAGCTGCAACATTGATTACAACAGAGCATCAGCAACAGCAAAAGAATCGCACTGACAAATAAATGCAAAGAAAATTACAAAAACAACAAGACAACAGAGACATACCCCACCCCCAAAAATGACAACACTAAAAGTACAAAGGTACTGGAGCCTTCGCTGTGTAGAAAAAACAATAATATTGATATTCCTTATCTGTCGATTCTCTCGCTAGGCATACACTCGTGTCTTGTTTCATTCTTTTGTCACGAAGGAGGCTTTGGGTTTCCTTTGACTCCTACATGTATACTACCTACCCTGTAACACTTTGTAGGTTTCTATCATGCGTAGGTTCTAGGTGGTATCACAAGGACCATACTACACATAACCCCCTTGTGGTATCTTGGCGTCTTTTCCATAACAGCCCCCAGCGTCACAATAAGACTCGTGCTCTTACTCATGTTTCCGTAGCCTGTTCTAAATGTACCCTTTTTGTAACTCGAGAATTTAATGGCGTTTCTTGGAATATTTTTAGTCAATGAAGAAGGTGATTGAAGGGCGCCACTGCCAGTTCATACATTTGTAGTTTTCCCCTGTTGTTTCTGTTGTCCATGATTCTTATTTTTTCCCCTGGTATTAAATGGCCGCTATTGTGTTGAAGTGCTTTTTTAGAACTTAAAACGAAGTCGGTGTTTTTGAGTTTACTACATGTATTGAGACTCTCATAAAGAGCAGATGCGTTTTGAAAACCTTTCCGTTCTGTGTTTTGCTTGACAATGAAATAAGTAACCATACAGGATTATTTGGTTCTTCAGATTTTCTGGAGCCTAGGGATCCGTCATTCATTTCAAAGTGTGAGTGTGCACTTTAGCACACGCACATGCATTCGTGCTCTTGCACAAACCCACACGCGTACACACTCATATACACACACTTGGTACTTACTCTCCCTCACACACATACATGTGCAGGCCCGTTAAAGACCAGCATTTGCAAATTTTGAAGGCCACAGTTCGACTAGGAATTATAAAGTGCAGCAGGTAGCAGCAGTGCCATTTTGTTTATGGATCTGACCCCCCTCCCCGTTTTCCCCCACTGGCCTTCCTTTATACGCTTATCGTGTGATCGATATCTTCCGTCAGATGTACTTCCAAGATCAAGTGCTGATAGTCTTTTCTGACTAGAGCTAATTGTATTTGGCAATGTTTCTTAAGGTGTGAAAATGAGAACAGCCTCGGGAAGGTGTTTGATAGCGTGCAATTCTTCCTCCTTTTACGCCCCCCTCCCCAGTACTGTCAACAAAATCAGTAATAACGAGAACGTTGAGAACTACTCCACCAATAGCCGGACTTCCACCAACGAACAATTAGATAAAATACCCCCACCCCCTCAAAAAAAATATATAAAAAAATCAAAAAATCTCGCAAAATAAGAAAAGGGTAAAAAAGGACAGAAAGCGCAAATAAAATTAACTGACATCACACAAATTCATGAAGAGCATTTCCCCCACCCCTCCCTCTCCCAATCGAAGTATTCATTTTTATAACTTTTATCGGTTTACCCACTTATTACACAGACCATCCCTTCTAATTACCACGTGCGCCGCCCCAACTCGCCCGGCCCCTCCCCGCCCCAAATCGTAACGACATTAGTAACAAGGTGTCGCCAAATCAATACTGTGTAAGTTACCGAGGAAGCTCTCCATAATTCTCTCTGCGTTCATGTTGACGTTGTTCCCATTCCTTAATTCTTTACTCTATTGACCTATATTTTACCCTGGCTGCTTCAGCGCACAATGGGAATAATTTCTTGAGCCCGCTGTAAGACAGGGGCCTGTGGCGTGATGCCTTTCACTGGCGTTCACTGATGTAAGCTGGTCCTTTCAAAATCTGAACGTTATTGAGCAGATTTGCCGTACAGAAATCACCACTGTTTAAATATGGCCGGTTTCGTGTTCATTTGTCATAAACTAGGACTCGATCGACTTAAGCTCGGTGCGGGCTTCTACTTCTACGAGAACTGGCTTTTTCTCTCCCAGTGATAGATCTCAACGACTATGTCGTAAAATGTCAAGACGGTGTGCACAGGATTCGCCCTCGTTGAGTTTAAAAGCGCGGGAGATTTTCTTGGCTCTTTTGACCGTGCGGCGATCGGTGACGAGAGCGCGTCTGAGCAAAGAGAATCGTGAACGTTAGATTAGAGCTATATCGATTGTCTATGGAACTTGGCGCCACTCACACACGGTGGTCGCTCGTGGCTGTTGCTTGTTGAAGTCGTCATCCGCGCCTAAGATGGTGTGTCGTCTGCTAGCCTACCGGGACGGCCCGTCTTTCACTCGCAGTCAGATTGGATGTCCTCCTCCCGCCAGCGCGACAGGATATAGTTTTCAGTTAGCGAAATTTACTCTTTCATGACGGCGGTGTTTAAAAACTTTCTTTTTAAGCGGACGACGATATGGTGCGTTTATCCACGTGGGATGGAAATGTGTGCGCATATAGTGTTTTAGTGTTTTGTTACCCCCCCCCCCTCCAGTGTTTTTCGTTTTTCGCTCGTAACACGGGAGTAATTTTAATGGCGTTGTAACAACACCACTTGTGTCGTAATTTCTAAATTGCACAATAGGCACAACTTCTTTCGGTGGAATCCAGTTCTTGTGCCACTCTCTGTGGTTAGGCGGAGTCAGTATCGGTTATCATTCACAGTGTTTTTCTTGGGGCATTTCAAACGACGTCGTTTTACTATCTGGACTCATGCAGAGTGTAGAAAGAACTGGCGTGTTTTCACCATGGAATGTTGATCTTAGTTTCGTTTGCCACGTGCAATAATCCCTTTACGTGATGACTAACGGACTAGAAGCTCTCTCTTACACTCTGTCATCTGTTTGAGGAGTCGCTGTTTCAGCTAGAAGTACAGTCAAAACTGTCTAAGACGGCCATTCACCGTCGAAGAGAACAATAGCCGTCTTAAACAGGTTGACGTCTAAAACAGTGCCATCATAATGTAAAATAAGGAAAGGGTAGAAACGAAAAGTGGCCGTTTGTGCAGGTGATTGCTTCATACAGGTGACCGTTGGAGCAGGTTTTGCTGTAGAGAGCTAGCAGCTAACAAGTGAAGAGGCCACAATGTACACCGTGGTGAAAACGCTTCAGGTCCCTACTGTGAAGATGCGCGGGCCGTGTCTGGACTCCTCATCGTCTGGTTTCGAAAAGGTTTTACAATCTCGCGCACAGTTGCCGTACGTGCACGAAGTGTTTTTGAAACGCAAGAAACACCCAGGTGTGCACGGCGTGCGTGTGACGCTCTTCTCTCTCACCGGACTCGGTGACGTCACGGATCGTATTACGCCCCAGCCAGAGGTGAGTTGACCGATTGTCAAGAGGGATAGTTTTTCTATTTTAAAATATTGTGTGTTGTTTAAACATTTTTAAAAACTTTTTCACGCGATGGATACACTAGGTCGACATTTCGGTAATGACACGAATTGCATTACGTTCAGGCTGGAAGTGAGTCGGTGGATGGTCAAGGACGTTTTTTTTTTGTGTTTCTTGTTTTAGTGATCCCCCCCCCCCGCATTTCATGTAGATGACACTTCTATGTCATGTACATTCCGCGGACATACACCGGTAGCTTGTTTGTTGGCTTTGGTGTTATGTTTGCTCTACCGTACGCGCGACAGTTTTTCGAATTCCTCACCGGACAGTTTTACTGCTCACTTTGTTTGCAAAGCTTTCAAGACTCTCCGCCATATTGACCCCGTAATGAAACAGTGGAAGTAATCAGGGGTACTGGGTACTCGTATACTGGGGTCGTATTGCACCAGTATCCCAGTAGAAAGACAGAACCACATGATGAACTATTCTTTTTTATGTTTGTTACTCTCTTGTAACACCTCTAATCTTCTGGCGCTCCTATGACCTTATCCAGTTGCGAGCGCCGTAAAAACCCTCTACTAAAACTAAAAAATTTTATCTGACATTTTTGGCCGTTATGAGTTACTAATACCATGAGGTCAGACATCAAATGATGCTCTACATGCTCTATCAAAATCGTAAGATTATTCGGTGTCGTTAGCAAGAATCAAGATATTTAAAGAATACCGTTCCAAAAAGCTTGGCATGTTATGAAACTGAACATTTTTCACGTAAAATTTATCAAAACTAGGCTCTGAGCAGATGGAAGTTTGTAATTTTCGAAGGTACCGATTTGTGTCGTGTTGATACAGGAGAATCCTCTTATTGTTCATTGTCCACACCCCTCCGAACCGGCGTCTGTGGTGTAGCGGTCAGGCTCTTCGCTGCCGCAGGCAGGAGACACAAGTTCGATTTTTGAGTTGGG